AATTGGGTGGGTGAGGGAGGCGATGTGTCTGGGGCTGTGGGTGGTGTGAAGGAAGGGGAAGGGGGAAGGTGCGTGTGTCTCTGTGTGCTGCGATGTATGTCAGGAAGAACGGAAAGCTGGGGAGGGTGGGGATGGTGGGTCTCAGGGGCAGAGGGCTCGAGAAGGCATTTGCATCGGGCCGTGTGGTGAGGTCGCGTGGTGCGGGCGGATGGCGAGGGGGGAACGTGTCGTAAGGGAATATGCGGAGCCGGGTGGCGAAAGCAAAGGAGAAATAAGATATGCGGAGATTTTGGGAATTTCCGCCAAGAATTTATGTACTTGAAAGCACATGCGACGACGGGAGCAAACAAAGGCAAAGCTGTGGTGCGCATTCACCATCCACCCCACCAACCACATGCTGCCAGCACGCCATGTCCTTCATCGACTGCCGGCGCAGTCAACGGCGCAGTCAACGGCATCTCTTCAACACACGTGTCAATCTGTACACCTGTACCTGTGTAAGGAATCTCAAATCACAACGTGTACACTCACAACGTGTACACGTCGTACACCTATACTGAGACAAAAACGCCCGCCTAACGCCGTTGTGCCCCTTCGCTCTTACCTGGCTCTCATTCCCACCGCCAACAACATTACTTTTCTAAACACCTCTCCGCACCCGCGACCGCATCCTTCCTGGCCCACCCCCGCACCGATCCCTCGCAATGGAGAACCCCACGCCGACAGAGCCGCCGAACACCCCGCCGGACGGCCCCCAGCAACCGCGTCCCGTCATCAACCCCATCGTCTACGACCTGCCGACGACGCAGACGGCGTCTGCGACGGTGTCTGCGCTGGTCGAGCAAACGCAGGCCAAGTTTGCCGAGCGCGCCGCCCGCTTCGGCACGCCCGTCGTGCGCCGCGCGGGCGACGTCCAAGTCCTGGGCGCGCGCCGTGCCGCGCTGCGCACGGGCTTTGCCACGGGCTTCGACCCGGGCGCGCCCGAGCATGCCGCGCTGCGCGCGAAGCGCGCCGCCAGGTTCGGCATCGTCCCCGTCGAGGCCAAGCCCGCGCCGCCGGAGGAAGGCCACCTCATCCCCGTCGCCCGCGTCGATCCGCTGGAGAGGAGGAGGGACGTCGCTGTGGGGGAGGCACCCAGGGAGAACGTCTTGCATGTTTTCGGCGTCGATAACTTGTCCACCCCGCAGATCATGGCCCATTTTAAGGAGTATGGGCCCTCTTGGTGCGAGTGGTTGAATGATTCCAGTTGCAATATCGTCTTTGAGGATTCTTTCACCGTTGCTCGCGTGCTTCGTGGGATGGCTTCCGCGGCGGACCACGTGCCAGAGGAGCCCGTTGACAAAATGGGCGATGAGGAAGGGGCGGGCACCAGCGTCGCGGTGGCAGGGGAGGGCCAGCTTAAGGAAGAGCTCAAGTGGAAACCCGCAACGCCTGTTATCACGAGGAATGCCAGTGTACCAATTTGGACTAGGATGGCCACGGAGACCGATGTCAGACCTGAAAAACCAAACCCCAAGTCAAAGTGGAGCCGTTCAAAGAGCAGGGAACACGAGCGCGAACAAAGTCGACGGCGTTCACGTGTGGGAGAGTCGCATGACGAAAGTAGGAGAAAACCGAGTACACAAGGCATAAGTCTTGGTGTACAAAAAACAAGAGACGCTATTGCCAAGGTGAAGGCCAAAAAGATCACCCGAGCGGATCTGGATAAGCCTCTCAGCTCGTGATCCCTTCGACATTTTGCTGTCAACCATACCTGTTTTGCGTGCTTGCCGACTACACTCGCCACAGTTGCAAGCGAGGACAGAGGCGCGGGATACTCAATTCTTGGAAGCAGGGAGAGGTGATGCAGCACGTTGTAGTCAAGCTCGTTTGTTGTATTTGTTTATACATCTTGAGTGGGGCGACTAAACCGGGCGTGTACATACGTAATAGATGTTCATAAAAAACCCACTCCGGAACATGAAACGCAATCGTTCCACTTGCTCGAAAAACATGCAGTTGCTCATCCTTTCTGTCTCAGGCAAGACGACCGACGATGTAGTCTTCGTTAAAATTGAGAATATTGATCGATTTCAGCGAATCGTCGTCTCGCAGTAACTGGAAGACCACGATCCACAGAATCCACACGAATACTTGAATAATTCCGACGAGCAGCGATAAATATACATACTTTTTGATCTTGAAGTTGGGGTCCTGGTCTCTGAGTTGCCGCAGGTAATAATACACACTAACAAAGTGCAGCAAAGGAAGGCCAAAACATCCAATGTAGAAAAAGAGGCGACATCTGGGCAAATTCTCCTCCTCCCACCGAGCTATTTCCTGTTCCTTCAACTCCTGGTCCGCAGCTCGACGCTTTCTTTCCGCTACTCTATACTCCTTGCTTTGTCCAGTCTGCAGAGTTTGAAAGAGTGGGGACGTCTTTGTAACAGAGACCAATGCAGCACCTGTGCTGTACGGTCTGGGCACGTTGGCGTCTTGTGGCTTGTCGGCGCGCCCCATCCACGGCGACACACCGACCTCTAAGACTGACCCCATAGGTGCCCCCGAGGCGGGTTGGGGTCTGATGGGCGGTGCCACGCCATTTGGAAGTGGCGGAGAAGCGTCTTCCGGTACGGCAACAGAGATCTGGTCTGGACTGGCCGGTGAGACCTCATCCGCAGACTGTTCTGACGGCCTCCCCCCTCGCGGATGAAAGGTGTTGCGAGGAGAGAAGCGACGGGCCATTTTAGTGCAATATCGCTGCTGGGGAGACCAGCGCTAGTGCAGGTCGGAAGCTGAGGTGGAGGTGTTTTTTGTGAAGGCAAGCGAGAGAGACACGAGTGAACTGACAGGGCCTTTCTTAGAGACGAGCTTGTTGGCACTGATTCCCTTCCGTAACCTGGGACAACGCTTAGGTATCTGCCTTACTCGCTATTTTCCGAATCTCACTTGAAATGGGAAAACATCCAACACGTGTAATGTGATCGCTGTCATCTCAACGCAATCCCGCGTCTCTCAGGGCACAACGCAGTTTGCGAGTTTAGTTGTAGTACGGTACCTTCGAAGGTATAGTACTGGGCGCTGCCCCCTTTCGTTCAGACACCTGTTCTACAGTGAACTAATCGCCGAAGTACAACCGACAAGTGAGAAGCACATCTTTGCTTTGTTCTCACCATGGCATTCATCTCACATGCGCCATTAACGTTTTCATCTACCGGGTGTCGACCTGCAGTGACACATGGCAGAGCCCCAATCCCAAAACTGTCCCCAAGGCGCAAGGCAAACTGTCGCACCCGCCCGGTAGTCATGTCATCGGGTGGCTTGGGAGATGACGATAACGAGAAAAGGGAGCCTCCGTCTCGGGATCTTTTTGTACCCGTGTTCGCCATGACAGCTATTCTAGGTTACACGCTTATTATCGCATGGGACTTGCTCAAGAGTTGGAATATCATATGAAGCGCAACACTCCACAGCGAACGAGGGGAAACGCTTCGCAAGAATCAGTATGGGATTAGCTTTCGGTCATAGGAAAAGAAAGAGCCGTTGTCCTCGGTATCGAGAGAGTCGATAACATCAAGCAACATGCCTGCTGCTTTGTCTGCAGGGAATAGTTTGTCAGGTTTGACGTTCTTTCTGAATGGAGCAGACAGGTCCGTTTCAACGGTCCCTGGGTGCAGTGAGACGCAAATAATCCCACGGCGCCCTAGTTCGATACTCATGGTGCGCATGGCTTGGTTCTGACCGGCTTTCGATGAGCGATAGGAGAGCCATCCCCCTAGGCCATTGTCGCTGATAGATCCAACACGCGCAGACAGAGCCGCTAGGACGCTTGGAACGCGCCCTTTCTTGCGCTTGGTTATCATCAACGGAGAGAAATGCTTGGCGACAAGCACAGGGCCCATCAGGTTTACCTGCGACGTGATCGGAGCATGGGTTTAGAATGTTAGATTCGAAAGCAACTAAGAACCGGTTCATTCGCAACGCCTGATCATGGTGATGCCTTACCTCGAGGTTTCTTCTAAAAAAGTCAGCATCGACCCGAGCGAGGGACGTCTCCGGCATGTTGTCTCCCTCATGCAAAATGCCGGCACATTGCACTAGCAAGTCAACTCTACTGTCCCCCGTCCACTCCTTGACTTCGTCAACAGCCTCTTCAATAGACGCCTCATCGCAAACGTCCATGGAAAGCACGTTGAAACGATCCGGCATGAATTGCCACAGGGCAGAAAGCGCATCAGCCTGCTCGACGTCGCGGCACGTGGCGACGATCTTTCCCTTCCATCCGCGTGATACCAATGATTGCACCATTGCGAGCCCGATGCCGCGGCTTCCTCCCACCACGACTGCTACGGCATTTGAGTCACTGCTTCGATCAGCAGCTATGCTGTGCGCCATCCGCGGCCTTGCTCGTGGTTGACATTTGTACGCGGATGTGCAGAAGAGCGGGCTGACTCGGGAAGGCATCCAGGAGGATGCCGCCCAGGCAGGACGCATCATGCTGTTTTGGATAATTCGCTGCATCTAAACCTGTTTTGCATACCCTATCTACGACGAGTCAGTGGTAGGATACGGAGGGCGGGGTGAGAGCGGTTAAGGTTGGCGAGGGCTGGACAGGGAGCACGCAGGGTGCCGAATCTCGCCGAAGTGTGATGCAGGGAGGCGTTTCGACGAAAGGAACGAAGCCAACAAATTGGGAGATATAAAATGACTTTTATTCTAGAATCCTCTTGCATGCAGCCCAATAGAAGGGAACATATTTTTCTCCATCGCACGTGCCACCCTGCTAACCTAGTCATGAACCTGGAACTGGCAGCATTGGATGTGTTTCGCTGCGGGATAGCCACCTGCTCTCGTCAATGTCTCACGGCCAAGCCCCGATCTGCACGCAAGCATGCAAACTGCGCGGCACGCAAAACTCGACACGAGGCTAGGCGCTGATTCGGTGGCACTTCTAGGTGCCGCGGAAACTGAAGGTCAAGTCACGCGGCAGCGGGCGGTCGTCGGCACCTACTCGCTGCGCAATGACAAGGGTGATGCTCCCTATCGGGACGGGGGCTTATTAGTCGTATCGGCGACGCGAGAGGGAGATGTATGCTCGCTGTCGATGGAGCAGGAGGTGCACGACATCCCGGGTGTGCTGGACGTGGCAGCACAGACAAGCCCCGGTATCCTATACGCGGCCTGTGCAAATGATTCCTTTCTAGCATTTGGAGATATAGATGGAGAGGGAAGGTTTCTGCACTCGCTGCAGAAAGTTCGCGAGGTCGAGGATCCGAACCGTATCCTTCTTTCCGTGGATGTGTGTGAGGATCCCGGCAGTGATGATGCCTTCGTGGCGTCCTCGGATTCGGCTGGTGGCATTTCAGTATATCGTGCGGTGAAGCACGGCTGGGAGCCAGTGATTCAACGAGATACACACACGCAGGAGGCGTGGTCTGTGCATATTGATGTATCTCGAGAAGCGATGTACTCTGGCGGAGATGATGGTGCGCTTGTTTGTTATGACTGGAATACCGATATTGAATGCTTCAGACTCCGCAAAGCTCACGGGGGGGTTGGTGTGACGGCGGTTACGAAGAATATGTTTGAGAGCCGGGAGGAAGGGGAATTTCATCTGTGGAGCGGTGGGTATGACGATGTGCTACGTTTTTGGGATATTCGGTTCACAAAACAGTGCGTTTCTGAAGTTGCTGTCGGCGGTGGCGTATGGCGCATTCGGTTTCACCCGAAGAAGAAAGATCTTATGCTTGTGGCCACAATGTACGATGGCTTTAAGGTGGTCAGGAGGGACTGCTCTGATCATCTCGAGGTGCTATGCCATTATCAAGGTCACGACTCTATGGCATACGGCGCAACATGGGTTCCGGCATTGGACCGCGGAGACCAGCACGTGGCATTGACGGGTTCTTTTTATGACCACTCCTTGCAGCTATGGACGTTTGATGACAACCCTTAGTTCAAAGGGTTGAGTTCCAGGATCATGTGCAACCGGTGACTGAAGAGCGAAGCTCCGTGCATAGTGCTGATTGGACGTAGCGCGATGGATTGACAATACGTATTTCATATTGGGTGAAAGGAGTGTCCATGCTCCGGGCGGGGCTTGATCGACTGCGCTGGCCGCTGGTGATGCAAGAATGTGATCCAAAAACGTGAAACAAGAGGGTTTTGGTTGTCATAAAGTATACATTGCGACCAAATAAAATAGGGTGAAGCTGTATCTACGCTATTGCTGTACATTTGCAGGTGCGAGAACGAAACTGCGCTTTCCGCACCTGTCAGGATGGACGATGACATTTGCGTGAGCATTGCGAAGCAACCTTGGATTCGCCACAAGTCAGCTCACTCGTAAGCTGTTTTCTTTCGCTCTGTAAAACATTGACGAGTTCTACGCACGGTCCAAAGTCGCACTAAAATTCACAGGAGGGTCGGAAGTGGATAGAAGGAGGCTTTTGCTATGCCTGCTCGTCCTCTGGAGGAGCTTCCTGCTGCTCTGGTTCAGGGTCCGAGCGACCCAATGGGTCATCTCTGCAGATAGGGCATGAAAGCTTTTGCATGAGCCACTCGTCAACGCATTCGGCATGAAAGACATGTCTGCCGACGGCACACGGGAGTTCCCTCAAGACGTCGTCATCCTCATAATCGCATAGACAAATACTGCACGACATCTCGGTATCATTTCCATTCTCGACGACGTCGTCCTTGCTAAACTTGAAGAGGCGCAATTTGGACAAATCTTCCTCGGTAGCGGCCGGGGCCCCGTGTCTGCCATTCAAAACTGGCTGCAGAGCAAACAAGAAAATGATCAAACAAAGCAAGATAGACGAGCACAAGACGGCAAGCTCGACGGCGATAATTGCTGTGACTAGCGTGGGAATGTGGCTGGATTTGCGCCCGTTTTCATCATCCTCGTGCAAAAAGAAAATGCCAAGGAGAAACCAAGAGAGCGCAGCGATAGAGGCGAGCCTCAAAAACCAGATGCAACAGCGCCTCAGGATGGGCCACCTGTCGGTGGGAAAGACGCGCATGGCGACTCTGCCCAGGGTGCGGACGGAGGCCAGGGCTGCGTTGACGATGAGCCAGATGCGCAGTTGTGAAGAATTTGGGGTGTCGGAGTCATCAACGAGGACATAGGTGGTTGTGGAGAGAACCAGGAGGAGGTAAAGGAGAAGAACTCGGTCGGTGGGTTTGGCTAGGAGTTGGGAGAGGATGCCAGGCCCCTGTCCCGAGGAGGGCCGTGGCGGACGCATGGCGGGATCATTCGGACTCTCCAGTTCTGGGATGCGCGGGGAAGGGGGGGGATGGGTGCGGCGGGCGGGCGGGCGGCGGGGGGGACAGAGGGGTGGCGAGGAGAATGGGCGGGACGGAAGTGGGGGGGGAGGGGTTGACGGTTGGAGGGGAAGGTGGAATCCGGTGGCGTGCGTGAGCGGGCGGGGGGGGGGGGTTGAGGGATGAAGGGGAAGGCGGAATCCGGGGGCGTGCGTGAGCGGATGGGGACGGAGTAGGCGGGGGAAGTAGCGACGTTTCTTTGCGGTGGGGTTGTGCGACACACCGGAAGTGGTGCGTGGTGCGTGGTGCGTGTACTGAGCTGTACCGGGAAGGCTACTGTAGCGAAGGGTTCAAGGGCCATGAACGGTTTTGCCGCTCTGGATATTCTCTTGTGCATACGACGCGAAGGCGAAACCCTGCATCTGTTACGCGCACGGCCTCCACCCCCCAAAAATGTACCCAAATTCAAGTATGCAACCGTCAATCAAAAGAGACCGTTCATTTATGACAGCTTTTGTACCCGACCTTCCCCGGTCTTCGGAAACACCTTCTTCCACTGATTACCCCGCCTCCGCCATAACTATGTCCACTAACACTAGCACAACACGCTTTCTACCTCGAGACAATACAATACAACTCTACAAAGTAAAACTCATGACCTTGCTCGGAACAACATCGCTCCCATCTGCTCCCCGCAGCCTTGCCCCAATATCCGATACATCGCTCGTAGCGGTGCCAGCAACGACTGCGCTGTCGTTTGACTCAGAATACTCGTGTATGTCGTGGCGATGAATCCATCTACCACAATGTCTCCGTGCAGAGTCTGTGGATTGTATAATCCCGTCTTCAACTCACTTGAAATCTCCACAACCCGTTCCCATTTCCCTTGGTCCGTCGGAATAAGGTCCCCAACCTGCAATGTCTCAGCCGGTACCACGCCTCGCGAAGAGTGCACAAAGTGCCCCTCTGTCGCCGAGAGCGTCCCCTTCTTTGTGTGCAAGTTCACAAACATCGCGACATGAACATCTGACCGATGAGTAAACAAAAACACCTCGCTGTACACCCCGTGTCCCACGTGGACCACGTCACCCACTTTGACCTCATCCATCCGCTTCCGCTTGCCACCAGCCACCTGCACCATTGCCTCGGCACCGAAGCAAACCGAACCATCATCATCATCGCGTGGAGCCTGCTGCTGCTCACCACCAGCATTCGTGCTCGCACCTGAGCCTCCGGAAGGAGGACACGACGGGCATGTCCCTCCGCTAGTTGAACTGCAGGAGTACTGCGAGTGACATTCTACTGGGCAGTTGGTGCATCCCTGCCGGCAAACATCACAAGCGTTGGGTCTGGCGCATCCACTGCAGTGTGTGGAACAATGAATGTCTCCGGAGCCTCCGCAACCGCACCTGCTTTCGACGTTCGCTGCCGACACAGGTAGAGTCTCCCTCTTGGTCAGTAACTGGACGGTGCTGCGGCCACTCCTGCAGCAAGTACTACAGCATTGATGACACTTCGGCTCAGCTGGTGGTGGTGGTGGTGAAGGAGCCTGGCAAGAATTGCATTCCCCGCATCTGCTAGCATCGCAGGCGCAGCCGCCCGGATTGCTGCAGTTGATGCACGAACCAGTTCGCAGAGTCAAGGAAGCTGGCAACAGGAATCGAGGCTTGAGCTCATGGACAGCGCGAGCGGCGTTGTAGTTACAGCACGTAGGGCAGCATGAACAATAGCCGGTGGGTCGGGTCTGACAGCCGGTACTGCCACAACCATGGCCGCCCTCCGTGCCACCGCTCGAACCAGAGTATGTGGTGGCGGCGGTGTCAGTGGCCGCGGGAGGGGGGGTTGTGGCTGTGGGGGGCGAGGAGCCTGAGCCTGAGGAGCCTGAGTCTGAGGGGGTTGAGCCCTGAATCTGAGTGGTGCCGTCCGGAAGAATGATGATGCCATCCTCATCTCCGTGGCCGCCTTGTATGTTGTCGCCCGGGACAGGTTGGCCCGGGCCTGGAGGGATGGAGCCTGTGTCTTCCATGCCTGTGCCTCCTTTGCAGTGGGCTGCGTAGCGCTCTGCAAAGACTTGGAGGTTTGTGACGACGCAGCCCAGAGATGATTCGAAGATGCGAATGCTCTTGTCCATGAGGTCGTAGAGCTCACAGCATTGGGTGGTGGAGAGGCCGCGGTGGCACTGCGGGAACTTGGACCAGTAGTCGTTGTAGACAGAGACCCAGTCGTCGCACGAGGTGACGGTGGTCTGGCGCGACACGGCGGAGAGGGGGAAGGAGAGCGAAAGGGGAAGGAGAGCGAGGGAGAGCAGGACGGCAGCTGCCCTTCGCGCCATAGTTGGGACGGTTAAGGGTTGGGGGTAGGAGCGGGTGGATGGGCAGCAACTGTGAGGTGGCACGTGAGTGTATCAAGCAAGTGGGAGGGTGGGGTATGATGGGGAAGGAAGTAGGGAGTGGGTCGGGAGTGGGTCGGGAGTGGGTCGGGAGTGGATAGGATAATACGGGGTAGGACTTTAAGCAGGGAGGCAGTGGGTTCTTATCAGACCTTGTTCCGGAGAGCGCGATACGGGAGGGCAGGGAAGGCTGGAGGGGAAGTGCGGAGGATTGCGCCAGTGTTGAAGCAGATATATGAACGACAGGCGAAAGGCAGTCGGGGCGGTGATGCGGACGCAGAGCAGGGACGGAGGCGGCTGTGGAAGGGGGGCCAGACGGAGCATCAGATCCTGCGGGAGGGTCGGTCGATTCAGCAGAGAGAGATGGAATTTTTTTTTCCCGCAGAATAGGTTTGTGGGTCTTCGCGCGCTGATCTGGCTCTTGTGACATCTCATGTAAGTTACTTCCCGTTTCGTTTCGCCCTTTCGCAAACGACTCCTGTTTTTTGCTTCCAAGCTCTCGTTTACCCTCTATAAGGACACGCGTTCCCCTCCTACTCGTCCCACCTATCAAAATATTCCAACCTCTCTCCACCCATCGACTGATGGGCAACAGATTGTAATCCATTCCCTGTGCTCTCCACACAGGGCAACAGATTGTAATCCATTCCCTGTGCCACGTGTTGACACATGAATCAGCACCTCCACACGTGGCACCAGCATGCGCATTACAGCTACCATTACAGCTCCAACTCTCGTACATTCCACGCTGACACGAACTGCGCTGCAACTTTACAGTACCCAAGGGTACACCTCTTGCATTTGACTTCTCCCTGCCGATCAACGCACTCTACAGTATCTCGCCTGCCGTCACCTTGGTAAGCTCCCCTTTCTCGCCCCTTCCTCAACCTCCCCGCCTCCCCTCCACCACCATCATCACCTCCTACCTTCACCTCCTACCTTCACTTCCTCCCTTCCTCACCACTCCCTTCCTCACCACTCCCCTCCTCTCCCCTCCCGTCGTCCGCACCCCCGGCCTCGCCATGGAGAGCCTCATCGCCATGTTCCCCGACGCCGACGTTGCCACCCTGCAAGCTGCCCTGGCCGCGAACGACGGCTCCGTCGAGCGCACGGTCGACTCGCTCCTTTCCACGCACTCTTCCTCGCCGCGCTCGCGCCAAGTCGAGCAAGATGCCGCGCTAGCCCGCAGTCTACAAGCCGAGCAAACCCTCCCGTCGCAGCCCGCCGCCGACCCGCCGCACCACCAACCACGCGCCCCAGACGCCTTTGAGCTCCCCTCCCTCGCCGACCTGCAGAACGCCGTCAAGCCTCTCGTCGACGGCGTCGCCTACGCTGGCCGCGTCGCCGCGGACGGCGTCTCCGCCCTCTACAGAGACTTTGTCGCCCCCGACGTCCCCACCGCCTCGCACCACTCCCCCGCCCACTACTCCGCAAGACGTGCCCAGGACGATACCGTCGTGCTGCGCGGCGAGGCCACCTCTTCTCCCGCCGCGCGCAGCACGAGGCTGAGAAGGGCCTCGCACCCCGCCTCCTCCGTCTCCTCTGCCGATAAGAAGGACTCTTGACCTCTCACCTGCGCGTGCATGGCCCGCCTGGCTTTGTAATTATCTGTCTTCACCCCGGCTATTGTACACACTTTGTATAGCACTTTCTTTTGCCCTTTCTCATACTACACCAGTACCACCACTTATCATCGTCGCCATTTGCTCCCAACCACCCAACTCCCTCGCAAGTTAAAACTACTTCCACGCCACACCCGCTGTCTTTGCGTCCTACGTCTGCAAAACTATCCTACCCTCTACTCCGCAAACACGCTCCCATCATGCTCTTACTCCCGAGACTCGGTCCGCTCCTCCCCATGCCCAACCTCGTTCCCCTGTCTCCCCCCAAACCACCGCCGAGCCCCAAACATCCGCTCCGCTATCCCGCTCACGACTTGCATAACCCCTTGCAGCATCGCGTTCTCTGTCGACGAGTCCAGATCCGACCCTACCTCCATCGCCACCCCGTGCTCCTCGCTCGAGTACACGTCCAGTTCGTCTATCAACTCGGTCCCGCCCAAGTCCACGCCATCTCCGAACGGCACTCGAAAAGAAAACTCAATTTCCGGCGTCGGAATCATTTCCGCCTCGGCCGAGAGGGACGTTTCTCTAGACCGCAACCTCTCCTCTTCCATTTCTTCTATTTGTCCGCTATTGGGCGATTCGCTCGTCCGACCCCCATCTGTTCTACCAGACTGTAACCCGCTCTCTGATTTTGACGACGGCAGCAAGATCAGCCATAGACAGGCGAACAATACCGAGACCCCCACAATGCAGATCACCACCCATAATGCCAGTAGAGGCAGCCCGATACCAGAAATTGTATTGGCGGACTCTGCCACCGGCGGAACGACCTTAAAGGCCTCACACAAAGACATATTCACAGTCTCGATTCGCGTCAACTTCAGCGCCCCGCTTTCCAGCTTCACAGCGACCGATACATTCTGACTCGAAATTTCCCTCTCGAGCGCATCGACGCTATCTTTAAGTTCATCCTCGTCAATCGACCGCGTCACTAGAATACCATATCGCAGCACTCTCCCTTCTACGCTGATAAATCGAACTCCATCTTCTGAGAGTCTGGGAAATGGCGTTCGAAGTCGCACCGCAATCTCCCCCTTTTTGTACGTGCTGAACGTAGTAGCGTTGTGCGTAGAGCTCTCCAACTCGACCAGTGTGAATCGATTTGCTGCGTATTTTGCCGGGTCCTGTTCGCACTCATCGGGCTGCGCGATTTCTGGTGAAACTAGTGAAACAGAGAGCGTGCTTCCAGGAGCGATTACAGCTAGCCGTCTGACCTGCGTCTGTTTCAGTGAAGCAGTGAATAAGGAGCCTGTAATGACATCCCCGCTTCCAATATGGGACATGTAGGTCAGAGTGACCTTGAGGTCTTGAGCAGACTGGTTTGACCAAGTCGGGGTCCGAAAACTTAGTTCACTGACAGCACCGGCTTCTCCGGTTGTTGTAGCCGAAGCGAAACGTGTAGCCGAAACGGATCGTCGATCATTGTTGCGCGCTTCAAATTCAAGAGCGAAGTCTTCGGCTCTCAAGTCAGATGTCTGCAGGGGCTGTAACGCATTTGCAATCGATAGAGTCAGCACTTCATTTCCGTAATGATCAAGCGTAGCGACATTCTCGCCAAGAACTATTACTGGCGGCGCAGCTCTCTCATCAAACACAAAATTCGTCACTGCATGCGACGGAAAAAAAGGCATTCCCATGAGGTCCAACGCGGCTGAGTTGGGGGCTTTCCAATCGATACGCACCCCAAAGTTGTAACCCGATACGCGATACGATTCGAATCTGAGAATGAGCCACCTTCCATCGCCGGAAATGCCTAGCCCACATTCATTGAGCATGGAGACGTCACTAATCGAGTAATCATTTTTGTCGTAGACAAAAAGCGTGTTCCCACGGCTATTTTCTCTTTCTGGAACAGCTTTCAAAGCTACTTTTCCTGAGCAAAACGTTCTATCGTACAAGACCGAGTCAACAAGACCAGCGGTTTCAATCAGCTGGAGCTCGACACCGCGGTTGATAGGTAGCAATCCCTCACTGTTCGAAGGCGGTTGTATTCGAAGTGGGAGCGCAAGTTGGCGTCGGTCAATCCACTCGGCGTACGAACCGAGGCCGATTCCTTTTCGAAATGCACCAGAGACGACGTGCTGGCCAATTGCAACTTGAATGCCCGAGACTGTAACTTGAAACTCAGCGATATACAAGAACGAGGGGTTCCCAGTGGTGGCCTCAATGGCGAATTGGGCGACCCCCACCGTGCCTTGGAATGAAAAGTTTGCCGAAAATGTCCATGACTTAGTATCGGTGCTATAAAGCGGATCGGAAAAGGTTTCTGAAGACAAAATGTCTCGCGGGGGATTGCGGACAGCGATGGAGAGTATTGATTCTATTGGAGAAAGAGTGGATAGGGAGAAAGAAAGTGCAAGAGAAGCGAAACCATCTCGTTGCATGACATTCACGCGGAAAATGTGGTCATCGGAAGGGTTTTGCTGTCGACGGGAGCGACGCATGGAGACGAAATCGCTGGGGACTGGCGATTGGCATGACACAAAAGGAAAAGGGATTAGGATAGATGCAACGAGTAGGAGGGGTAGAGGAAAGCGGAAGGGGGTAGCGTCATTTGGTGCCATGGTCCGAGCAGAGAGAAGGGAAGACGAGGCCGGAACACTCGGTCATGCAGAAACTGCAGGAAGTGGAAATGAAGTATTGTTACCGTTTACGGCAAGGACATTGTGAGAAGCAAGAAAGTGTTTACATGTAGAGTGATAGAGTTGGTAAGAGGAGATTGGAGACTGGAAGCGAGTAGGAACCTTTGTGCTTTGTTGCTCACCAGGATGTGGGATGGCCCGTTGCAAGAAGCGGTGTTTCTGGTAAAGGTGCGGGGCATGATGTAGTCGTGACTTGGTGGAACGGTACCGTACATGCGAGGGGCAGAGGGGGGTGCGGGTGGGGGTGCGAGTAGGGGTGTGCGGTTGTTTGGTAATAGTATAGGTGCAGTTAAACAGCGTAGAGTACTGGGAAGGGATGTATGTACGGCGGATTGGTCCATGAAGTCATCTGGGACGGAGAACGTAGCGGCTACCGGGGAGTGGCCAAGGTAGACAGCCGTGGACAGGTACATGCACGTACGGCAGGGGGGAAGAGCGAGCACGGCGTAGTAGGTGGACCAACCGTGGGTTTGCGAGAGGGAAGCAAGGAACTGGGCGCCCCATATTTCCTATAATCTCAGCTATTATCTGTTAGATATCAGCGGAGAAGCTGAAGTACAGTAGGCGCATGGCCGGCGTGACTATATGAAGCATACTGTGGTTACCCTTGGGAAGGGTACTTGCCATTTCTGTTAGATATCAGCAGAGAAGCTGAAGTACAGTAGGCGCATGGCCAGCGTGACGTGGCACGTTGCTCTCCGTGAGGCACTGACGGCCCGATCGGTGTGCTCAAAATGATATTTCCACGGTTTAAACACTGTCCCCCGCGCCGTGATCGGTCATCACGGGGCGTCGAGTACCAGCTTACAGTATTTTGCGATTACAGAGTACAGTACCCTTGTACTAACGGTACTGCACAGTTTTCAGTCTTTAGCAATTCATTCTTCAGCAAAAAGAAATTCAGTCTTCGGCACTGCTGTACCACTTCACGTCTTCATCATTCCACATTCCATATTTGGAATACCAAGGGTACCCTTCGAAGGGTAGTTCCATATTTGGAATAGTGCGGCTGAGGGCCTCTCTTCGCCTCGACGTTTTTCGACTCCTGTGAAGCTACGATATACAGTATTTGGATACCGTACCAACTCCACACATCTACAGTACCAGCAGTCTTCCTGAATAGGCTACGTTTTGCATCATTCCATCATTTTGGGATGATGGTCAACGTCTCGACTCGTGACTGCAATGCAGTCTCATTCCTACATACAGTATTTTGGAACCATTGCTAAAGGTATACGTTGTCCAGGGAAGTATGGCAGAGTCGGTGAGGGTACTGTGTCCCTTTGACGGGTTAGGGCTTGTTGAAACCGTTTTGGAGTGAAATATACAAAATCAGGTGGATCCAGATTTCCAGAATGATGACATGCTGAAAGAAACCCTAACATACCCTTCGAAGGGTACAGTGCATAATTTCATGTACTCACTACTCTCACTTCTCGTTTGATAAACACCCAGAGTCACTGTACCGTACCGCATTTCTTTTCTCCACAAAAAATGCCGCTTTCGCTTCCGCGCCAGCAAAGATAATGCATATATTCATAAGTGTAAACAAGTCGTTTCTGGTGTCTATTGGACCGCAGTCCTCACCTGTGGTTACATTTTAACCTATTTTTTCTTGACTTGCGTCTTCTCGAGAAAGAGAAAAATATCATCGACACTAGATTTTGTGAGACCTAGATGTCCTTTCCGGTCGTTTTGTAAAAATGCCTGGCAAAGAACGTACTTTTTAAGCATGCTTGAAACGTTATGGAATAGTACTTTCAAACCCAAAACATTCGCTTAGAAAGAGCATCTAGATGGTTGAACTTTAGTACAACTTTTTTGTTTCAATGTATTCGAAATTGCTACGATGAAGTTTTGCACAGTGTTAATGTCGAGGGCAAGTATGCCCAAGAAATGGTATCCAAATTGACTTTCTGTATAGCGGTAAGAAGTCCAACGTAGCTGCGCGTATCGCAGGCAGCGGCAGGGGAACAGTTCCCAGGGTAGGGAATGAAGAGAGGTTGGTTGGAAGGACAAGGCGAAATTGAGAGAAAGGACAATTGGGTAGTGCTGCAGTGCTCACCCCGAGGGTCCCGCCGTTCGGACTCTCGGCACAGTACTGAATACGATATTAGATGCCCATTATTTGTCTGGAATAAAACCTCGTAACCCAAGGTTCTTGTTCAAGGTTGTTTCCAAAAAAATCGAAATATGAGTACAGTATTCCGAAGCAATAAAAGTGTGACTACACCCGTACAGTACAGTACTCTCACACTTTCATTGCGTTGGAATGTTGATTTCGTTACTCAATGAAAGGCTGACAAGTGGCTTCAGTGCCGGCGCGCTTCTGAGGAGCCAGAGCTGCGGTTGGTTACTGAGTTTGATGATGCGTTTCCCCCTGGCCTGCTGGGGAGCTTAATCACTCATCCTCATAAAGGGGTGGCAGGGCTTGTCCAAAGGTGGGGAAACTGGCATCAGATGCTGCAATCTTGGCATTAAGGTTGCAGCTCAAGGAAACGGGAGGAGTAATGGTGTCATTCGTGAGTCAGAAACGGCACATTGAATGGAAGGTCTTTGCACGAGACCCGGTCAGTGTCGCGAAGAGATGCTTAATAGATGTCGAAGCGTTTTCAAGCAGGCTTTGGCAGCTGATGCCTGAAATGGAGAAATATCATGGGCCTGCCAGACCTGAGGCATTGAGGTCATTGACCGTCATTCAGCGGACTTCTAAAGAGGTTGGGATGAAGGCCGTGGATGTGTTCATAAGTCATGCTGGGCCGGACAAGTTAACTATTGCAAATCCGCTTTTTGACAAATTACGAGGAGAAGGCTTTAGTTGCTTTCTCGACAAGAAAAGCATGAAGGCAGGAGACTGCGCATCGGAAGAAATGATCCCAGCTATGGAGTCGGTCAAGATTGGGGTCTTCATTCTATCCCCCGAGTTTGCTGCTAGAAGGTGGCCGATGAAGGAATTGCGATGCTTTCTACGTCGACGCAGAGACGCGCGAAGCAGCGGAGCGGCACCGCCGATTTTGATACCTGTATTTTATCGGTTAGGCGTTTCAGAGTGCCGAAGTTTCAAGCCTGAGCAATACATGGATGAGAATGGAAGCAATCTGTTAGAGGCAGAGAAGTTCTACACTAAAGAGAGACAAAAGGAAGCGACGTTGGCAAGAGTGAAAGATGAACTGCGAGAGGTAACAACTCTCAATGGGATTGAAAATGAAGAAGCGGCATCAAACGATTTGCACGATCCATTTGCTTTTGGCTTCCGAGAAATGTTTGTGGATCGAATAGTATAGAAGGTCAAAAAGAAGTGTGAAGCTCGTCAGCAGCAGGAAGCGAAGAGCGTGGGTATTCCCTCTACAAGTACAGCCGCAAACAGCTAAGGAAGGGGGTTGCAGCACTGTACCGAAAGGGTCAGTTGAATTGAGATTTCCGAAATGGGATTTGCGGAAAGACTCCCCGGCATACAGCAAGGCGGTTCTCACAAATTTGTCGAAGCAGAAAAGTTGGATGAGTAATGTCTAGCAGCACCCGCGTCGAACTCAAATGAGTCGTGTCTATCGAACCTGCGCCACCAGCCTCCGTCTCAGCGTCGCCCGTAGAAGGGCCACTCCCGTATCGCTCTGCCCTGCCTCACCACACCAAGGCCTCTGAAGAGCACGCGCCTGACGATGACATGACTCCACAACGGGCCTACCATCTTGTACACCACATCCCGCCAGAAACTCACAGCTATGTAGTCTTGTTATTGATTGTGTTCCCAGCGCCCTAGATGCATGCCCTACATCTCCGCAAGACCATTCAGAGTTGTGGCGTCACGGCAAACGCAAGCACAACACTTTGCATCGATCAGTCCTCATACCACCGAAGCCCTTCCCATGCTTAGCAGAGACCCTTGCTACCGCAAATCCCCCTACCTTTTGCACTCGCTGCTCGCGCTAGGTAGACGCTTATCATAACTGCAGGCACAGTTTTCTTCTTGCTCCGGTAAGACCGGGTTCCCTGAAAGAAGCCAAACGGAACGGCAGGCGTTGGGGACTGAATTACAGAACAAACCCGAGCTGCGTTGCGGCGGTACTAAAGTTTGCATCTGAGAAGCGCCGCTCACTTGAAGCGCAAGCGCATCAACAAAGTTATTTTATCTAACTTTCAGGGGGAGCCGATCTATACCACAGGACGGGCTTTAAAGAATCACATTTGGGTGGGACATGATAGGGCCGAGCCGTGATAAGGCAGGCGATGGTAGCCGAGGCTAGGCTGGACCATATCGTTGTAGCTAAGGCGCTGAGAGAGACGGGACTTGGCAGTTCCAAATGACGTCCTACTGCGAGTCGCGATCTGACGAGCGAGAAGGTCAAGTACGGACGTAGTGCGAGCGCTCGGGGCGCCAAGAGTGCCAAAGGCAAGAGCTACGAAATCCCAATCAAGGCGAGGGAGGTCATGGTCTTCCAGATGGAGCGCGGCGCGTACGGCGTAGTCGGTGGACAAGCGACTACCGTGGAATTGCGAGAGGGAAGCAAGGAACAAGTCGCCCTGTTGGGTGTGAACTGGGGGGTTCCTCCTCAGCTAAAATACACCTGCCCAAATTCTACTCCCTTCGTATGGGCCCAAGTCTTCTCCTTCCAAGCCCAAGTGCCACATTCCAGATGCGAATGACACCTTGCCTAACATGCTTCGCCTGCTTACTAACCTACCCTCGGCATTCCTACAGAGGGCACTTCTCAGCTGGTTCCACTCGAGCTCTGTCCCGGAAGTGAAGTCTTGCGCAGAGTCATTAGGTTCGAACCCTGCAAAGCAGGTGTACCTCGGATTAACCCCGAGCGTCGACAAGTAGTCGCGCGACAAGGTTCCCAAGACGTCAGCCGGCTGCAGTCTAGAGACTTGACTGAGAGAGGTGAGGTTGACCTCACGCTTTATACGCCGACATAGGGTTACTGCCCTGGCAAGCAACTTGAAATTGCGTCTATGGTCTCCGGAGGACACATCGGTGACAAGGCTGCGTGGCTCGACAACTTCATGGAACTTGGAAGCTCTGTTCTTGAACGAGCACGCTCTGCGCGGTGTGAACCATATGAACTTACCGTGCTGCGTAACTACACCGCATCCCTCCGGGATATCTCTGATGCAGTTTACTAGCTCCCCATCGACCCGGATCACACTGTGATTGTAGAATCTGCGCGGCTCTGAGTCCTCACAATCGCTGTCGTCGCCATGTATGATGTAGTTGGTATTGGCTTGCAGCGTTATGTTGCCATCTGAAGTCTTACTTCTTACTTTCGGAGTATTAGGATAGTCTGCATCGTTACCAGAAATATGTCCTTTTATAACCACCGAATTTGAGAACCTGACTAACGTTCCACTCGAGGCCCGGACTGGGATCGTACCAGAAAATAGGCCAGTATGTTTCGCACAATCCTTTCCCCCCGAGATCTTGACGCTTAAGTTTCTTAAAATGCTCGTGGTCCTTATAAGCTCCGATTCGGCGGCCCTTCTCAAACTCGGAGCAGAGAAAGCCCCCAACTTGAATTTCTCATAGACAGGCAAGCTGTCTAAGTCTTCAAGCTCGAATTCTTCCCCACCCACCCTGAATTTCACGCTACCGCCCGCGGCAGACAAGCTGTCTACTACTATGTCCTCTACCGTAGATAAAGAACTGCTTGAACTCATTGTGATTGTTTGCGTTGATAGTTGTGTTGTTGAAAATTATAAACTGGTGAATGTTGGGTGTGAATTGGGGAGTTCCTCCTCAGGTAAAATGGCCCCCACTTTGCGACCCTCGGGTCAGCCTCCAGTGTCTAGACGACCGTCAATTTGACCTCATATGAGGCCAGCTTTTCTTGCACAAATATACTGTATACATTAACGTTGTCCGTAAAATAACGCGTTGTTTTTTTCCATTTACAGTGCCTCTTACGATATAGTGCTATAGCGTGACATACCACTAGCTATGGCACTATTGGAGGGATGGCACTATATAAAGGAGGCTCAAATACATATATTTGGGGACAAAGCACACTGCTAACACAAACACAACACATAGCCTGTATAACACAACTAAATAACTTCATCCTTTGAGTACTGAACCATGCCGGATGATACACGTGTGAGCTTATGATAACCTGTGCCAGAGGGTGAGCCATAGCACTATCACTATATAGAGGGAAGCACTACTAAAGTAGGCACTATTGAGCGACCCCCCCCCTGTACCCACAAACTCGATGGACGTAAAGTAAACGCGAGATTGAAAAATTCCACCACAAGTTTTGCGGGCTGACCTCCAGCAAGGTACAGGGGGGGACACCCATTAGTGCCACTTTTACTAATGCCAGCCTCCCATTAATGCCGGCCAGACGCACGAACACGAAGAGTGCCACGTGTCACACGGGTCCGGGTGTTATGCTGCCGTCCGTCTAGACAACCCCCACCCGTTCCTTGAGCGCCTCCATCGGATTCCCTTCTCCGCCAAACACAACCTCCCCTCTCACCTTCCCCGCCTCCAGTATCTCTACCGTCGCCCTACCCGCCTCCACCCTCAATGTTTTCCTCACGTGCGACAACCCGGCGTTCAACGTCGCCGCCATTATCCTTGCAAACCTCACCGCCCCCATCTCCACTACGCACTCTCACACTCATCTCCCTCCGGGCCTTCCTCACGCCGGCCGCCTCATCGCACAGCGCGTCCAACCGACACGAACTGCGCGCGGGCCATGGCGCAACGGGAGGCCGGGTGGAGCGACGAGCTTGCCGACCCGCTCGTGCACACTCTCCCCACGGGAGAGCCGCGTGGCGCAGGCGCGGACCAGTTTCAACAGCTCAGGACGTGTCTCGCAGACTTTACGCAGGAGTCGCACGACAGGCTCACCACTCACGAACGGAGCGTCCAGGGGCTGCTTCGTCGCATCGGCGAGGCGGAAAACGGCGGGCCCATGTGAGAGACGCGCTGGAAGTGGGGAGATAGCGCATTGTAGAACGCGACGCTGTCGAGATGTTGCGTTGCGCTCGCAGTAGAGTCGGGTGCCATTGTGTAAATTGTAACCTGCGTGACAGCGCCGTTGATTTTCTACACGGTGAGACGGCGAGGGAGACAGCGGGAGGGGCTGCGGCGCATGGCGGGCGGGACGACGCGGAAGCGCGGCGTCGGAGAGGGACAGCGCTACACAAGCGCGATGGCGTTACCAGCACCGGAAAGCGCGGTTTGACACGGGCGCAAAGGTGGCAAGCCGGAGCAAACTGGTCGGGGAGTTGAGCGTCTGGTCGGGAGCGGGAGGCACTGTGTGATTGAGGTCTAGATTAGCGGGGATTGCTACGACGCGGGCTGATGTACCTACCTGCGAGAGAGAGGAAGCGGGCGGTGGTGTGGGGGGGCCGCCCATAACCTGAAACGCGCACGAACTCTCCGCAAACATGTAATCTTCATAGTCCTTGATAGCATGTGCCATTTTCATTGCCAAAGTGAGAGTTGCTGTGGTGTGACAAAATGCGGATTCAGCTAATGTGGATCGTCTGCAAACAGAATTGCAGAACGAGACTTGCGAAAGGACTCCTTGATGTCTCACAACAGCTGTGCCATGGTCCTTTTGCCTTCCCCGCCCCATCGTGCAATCGCCGGCCACCTCGAGCGCCGTCGTTGCGACGATGGTGCCACTCTACAACTAGATCTAGTTGTACTGCATGCCCTTATCGCCTAATACTCCCATGTTTGAAAGTCTACGTCTGGCGTAAACATTTTGGAAAAGTGTTCACAAATTTTTCAGATTTGTATTGCTGAAATTCTCGTTTGCGTAAGCTCTGTATTCACGAAAGAGCAAGCGAAAGCACATCAGCTCATCCTACAGATCCACACGATCGTCGCCACTGTTTCCGCTTTCGTCGACAACGACAAGAGTGCCGCGCGCTGAACGCTGCCTTCAACCTTCGCATCCCTGTTTTTTTAACAGCCGGTGCTGTTCTCACGCATAACACACTCCACACCTCACCAACTTCACATCCATCTTTAGCTATTCACAAAAACATGCAGGAAAGCTTCCGTCAAGAGACGGGACCATATAGAAAACGGAGAAAGATGCACTCTACCGATGTGTTCATAAGCCATGCTGGCCTGGACAAGCTACTTATCGCACGCCCCATTTGGGAGAAATTGCAAGCACATGGTTTAAATTGCTTCCTCGACAGTACGTCATTGCAGCCCGGCTACGACGGACCGGATGAACTAGCGAAGGCCATGGAGTCTGCGAAGGTCGGTGTTTTCATACTTTCTCCCGAGTTTGCGGCTCGAAAGTGGACGATGATGGAACTGCGTTGCTTCCTACGCCGACGGAGTGAGGCGATAGGGAGTGGGATGCGACCACCGATACTTTTTCCGGTGTTTTACAGACTAAGTATTCGTGAATGCAGAGAGTTGGACCTGGATCGGTACTGGGATGGCAAAGGAAATAATATTTTTGAAGTTGAGAAGTTTTTTAGCGAGGAACGACAGCGCGAAGCGAGCACGGCTACGGTGAAGAGGGAGCTACAAGAGCTGGCAGATATCCCTGGGGTTGAAAATGACGAAGAGGCAACGAACCTGCTGAAAGACGAATTCAGCCATCTTGCAAGGGCACATTTTGTGGAGCGAGTATTCCGGTCGGTGAAAAACAAATTGGAGAAGGACTCAAGTGATGAAGTGAGAGATGCGGTAGACGCTATTGGCGATGTGATGACGCGTCTGCACGTTCACAGTCTTGTCCTCTCCGCCATTCCAAAATCCTACGATACGCTCACCCATACGTTCCCCGACATTCCACATCGTCACAAGAATGCCCAGATCTTTTCCACTGATGTTGGGGCGGTTAATGTGAAATACTTTACTACCAACAGGATCGAAGCAATGAATCGTCAAGGTATTGACATTGTTGAATATCTTCGCAATGCCATACTGCGAGTTCTTGAGAATAATTTTCACAATGACCGAGTGCTGATGTCCAACATTCTCAACAATATCTCTGTGATGTACTTCAATGAACTGCAAGCATCCTCTTCCATCCCACAACTGCGCAAAATGGGACGCCAACTCCTCGAACAAGCAATTGGCATATCTAAGGAATGTGACAAAGCGAGGGCAAATTTGGCATTGCTTTTGTGGCGCGGACATGACAGAACGGGCGATGAAGCCGAGATATCACGCGTCATAAAGCTACTAGAGGAAGCAATCTCTATCCGCCCACTGCCAAAGCACAGGGTTTTACTTGCTCGTGTATTGATATCCGCCGACTCGGGCTTATTATGCGACTGGGATCGTGCGAAGGAACTTCTATACGATGCTATACGAGAAGACCTCTTCGGACCTGCTGAGGAACTTCTTGCAGACATGCTGACACATGAACGTGAAGGAGTTCCTCCAGATGTGTCAGGTGCTAACCGATTGCGCTCCCTTCTGCTGTATTCAAGAGTGAATTCGAAAGAAAAAGCAGACACACTTCAACGTGTTGGTTTCCAGGACTCGCAAGAGTACGTCGAGACAAAGCTCAAAGAAGCAAAAGCAAAACAGTCGCAAATCTTTCTGCTGGTTTTAGGTGGTGGGGCAAGAGGAAAGACCTCACTTGTCCGCAGTCTTCGGAAAATGTCATTCGAAACTGAGTATAACCGAACAGAGCTAGCTGCACTCTCTAGGATACAAGTGCTTCTTGGAAGTCGAGAAATGAGCGAAGTGGACGTGGACATGGACGAGCTTGCACATCATCAGGACTCGCTGAACGCTATCCTATCACGACAAGCGATATCGTCTCCGAATACGGTTATTCGAAAGCCGACAACTGTCGAGAACAGGAATCAGAATCCAGCTCCAAGCATTCCTTATGCACATTCAAAGGGCGAACATGCTACAATAAATGACGAAAGGACCCCGCGACGAACGACGTCGTTTATAAATCTAGCTCCTCAGACTGGAAATACTTCACAACCGCCAAAGGTAACAATGAATCCTCTTCTGGCACGGCTTCGAAATGATTTGGAAAACTCAGCCACTCCGAAGGAGATAGACGGAACCCTTGTGCAATGCTGGGATCTGGCTGGACAGTCACAATATGTGATGGCACATGCGTTGTTCGTTAAAAACGGAAGCTTGTTTGTGTTTGTAGTTAACTTGAAGAATCTATTGAACATTTCAACTCGAGTCGAAGAAGTGAGGGAATTATGTCGGTGGATGCAACTTGTACATGCACTTGTACCGAATTCCAAATTTGTGCAACCGATTATTGTCGGAACACACAAGGACTGTTGCCGGGACTTGGAGGAGGCTGAAGATGTTCTACTCAAAGGCTTAAAGGACGAGGTGGGGACAGCGGTTTACAATGATTGGGTGCGAGCCAGACCCAAAGCAGAGAACGACATAGGCTCCACCATTTCTTTCATCGCTGTGGAAAACAGAACTGCTCTGGAAGATCCTGGAGAGTCTGGTATAGAGGAACTAGAAGAATTAATCAAACGTATGTCGGACGATATCGTGGCTTCACGACTGGAAGTACCACTTTGGTGGATAGCTTTCGTGGAAGAAGTAGAACGGAAGAGTGCTGAAATGAATGCTGAAAGGATGAGCACCATTGTTTGGAACATACAAGAGATATTCAAATGTGTAGATGGGTTTCCAGCCTTTAGTACAAAAAAGGAAGAGCGATATGAAGAAGCCTTACAAGCACTGAAGTATTTTAGCAAGCTTGGGAGAGTAGTATTATTTGAGATATCAGAGAAGGAATTGTATTTGTTCCCACGCCCTGTTGCCATGCTTGATTTCGTACGGCGCGTGACTGGACCAGAAGAATGTGCGCGCAGAAGACTGTCCCAAGAACACGCAAGATTGTTGGATAAGGGTTTGTTGACGAAGGAAGGTCTGAAGGAATTGTGGCACGAACACTCGCAGGAAACATGCGAAGTGATGCTTCAGGTCTTATGTCGCGTTGATTTGCTCATACAAGTGCAACCTGCAAATAACTCAAAAGAGTTATTTGCGATCCCGGCTTTGCTACCGAAGGCTGGGAAATGGCTTCAGTGTCGGCGCGCTTCTGAGGAGTCAGAGCTGCGGTTAGTTACTGAGTTTGTTGATGCGTTTCCCCCAGGTCTGATGGGGAGCTTAATCAGTCGTCTTCATAAAGGGGTTGGCAGGGCTTGTCCAAAGGTGGGGAAACTAGCATCAGGTGCTGCAATTTTGACATTAAGGTTGCAGCTCAAGGAAACGGGACGAGTAATGGTGTCTTTCGTGAGTCAGAAACGGCACATTGAATGGAAGGTGTTTGCACAAGACCCGGTCAGTGTCGCGAAGAGATGCTTAATTGATGTCGAAGAGTTTTCAAGCATGCCACTCAGAGGCAAACCGTTCCTTATGAAGCACTATCTGAGGACGCAATGTCGCTCAGATTTAACCGGGTGCGGAGGAGAGTGGACAGCTTCCTTTCAACTTCCTGGAGATTGGGTCAAGAGCGTCACAGAAAAGGGATTGCGGAATCTCGATGGCGAATGCACCGATTGTGAGGAAGCTTGGAGGCTTTGGCAGCTGATGCCTGAAATGGAGAAATATCATGGGCCTGCTAGACCTGAGGCATTGAGGGCATTGACCGTTATTCAGCGGACTTCTAAAGAGGTTGGGATGAAGGCCGTGGATGTGTTTATAAGCCATGCTGGGCCGGACAAGTGGACCATTGCAAGTCCGCTTTTTGGCAAATTCCGAGGAGAAGGCTTTAGTTGCTTTTTCGACAAGAAAAGCATGAAGGCAGGAGACTGCGCATCGGAAGAAATGATCGCAGCTATGGGGTCGGCCAAGATCGGGGTCTTCATTCTATCCCCCGAGTTTGCTGCGAGAAGGTGGCCGATGAAGGAATTGCGATGCTTTCTACGTCGACGCAGAGACGCGCAAAGCAGCGGAGCGACACTGCCGATATTGATCCCTGTATTTTATCGGTTAGGCGTTTCGGAGTGCCGAAGTTTCAAGCCTGAGCAATACATGGATGAGAATGGAAGCAATCTGTTCGAGGCAGAGAAGTTCTACACTGAAGAGAGACAAAACGAAGCGACAATGGCGATGGTGAAAGACGAACTGGTAGAGATAACAAAGACAACTGGGATTGAAAATGAAGAAGCAGCATCAAACGATTTGCACGATCCACTTGCTTTTGGCTTCCGAAAAATGTTGGTGGAGCGAATAGTGTATTCGGTCAAAAAGACGTGTGAAGCGCGTCAGCAGCAGGAAGTGAAGGGCGTGGGTATTCCCTCTACCAGTGCAGCCGCAAACAGGTAGGGAAGGGGATTGCAGCACTGTACCGAAAGAGTCAGTTGGATTGAGATTTCCAAAATGGAGAATTGCGGAAAGACTCCCGGCATGCAGCACAGTAGTTTTCACAAATTTGTTCTGCTTCTCTTGGAACGAGTGAGCTCCGACAGACCATTCCCAAGAGGCAGTGCAAAGGCAGTGCGATAAGTCTGGAGACGCAAAGGTTTGTGCTCGCCATTGCTCCGACGCACCATGAGCTGTGATGAGGAGGTGGGACCACACGGTCGCCGCGGCCGCCGCTTTCACATCCCGAGGCAGAAGAGTTGGATGCGCAACGTCTAGCACCACCCGCGTCGAACTCAAATTAGTCGTGTATCGAACCTGCGCCACGAGCCTCCGTCTCAGCTCCGCGCGTAGAAGGGCCACTCCCGTATCGCTCTGCTCTGCCTAACGACACCAAGGTCTCGGAAGAGCGCGCGCCTGACGATGACATAACTCCGCAACGGGCCTACCATCTTGTACACCACATCCCGCCAGAAACTCAGAGCTATGTGGTCTTGTTATTGATTGTGTTCCCAGCGCCTTGGATGCATGTCCCACATCTCCGCAAGACCATTCACAGTTGTGGCGTCACGGCAAAGGCAAGCAAAACACTTTGCATCGTTTTTTAAATCGGGGCAAAAGTTATTTTATTTTTTCTAGACAACGCAAGGCTCGACTTCATTTCTTCTATTTTTTAAATCAGAAGGTCACTGCCACAGGTATCTTACCTTCCGTAAAGGGTAAAGCATTTGCTTGTCGATTCTAGCGAAACCCTACTCGTTGATGCAAATAATTTATATTTATGGGTTTACGCAAGACAGAATTCTGTAATTAAAAATGAGAAATAGATAAACAGCATGCAGAATTCTTATTTTTGAAAAGTCATTGCAGAATATTTTTAAGCAGTTTACGCTACAGTACAGTTCGTGAGAACCAGATGTGTGAGTATGATCTCTGACCCTCTGGGTAGTAGTCCTGGAACGCGCTATCCGCATCGGAGTGGGCACTCGGAAGCTGAGCTGCTGGCTATCGGGATCCGGCCGCTGACTCGTAAAGAGTACGAGGGGCAGGCGCGACTTAAGGTCGAGGACGCACGCGACGGGGAGGAAGACGAGGAGGAGGAGGATGACGAGGACGAATACGATGAGGATGAGAGGATGACCGAGCGGCTGCGCGAGTCGGGGATCACGAACGGGGCGCACGTGGTGGCGATGGTGATGCTGGCGGAGATCTTGGTGGTGAGCGCGGTGCCGTGAGAGACGGAGAAGGCGATGCGGCCGCTGCAGCGGGCCGTGAGCGAGGTAGAGGTGCCGAACGCACTGGAGAAGGTGACGGTGAACTTTGAGATGCTGCGCGTGCTGACGGAGGAGGGGCGGGACGACGGGGAGCGGTGCGCGCGCGTGGGGCGGCTGTGCCGGCTGATGACGGAGCGGAGCGGGCGGTGCAAGGGGGCCTGGGTGCTCGGCGAGATGACGCGGCACGGGCGCGGGGCGCGACAGAGCGCGCGCGACGCAGTGCACTGGTTCGAGCGCGGCGTGTGCGGCGGTGAGGCGCGCGCCGCTGTCGCGCTGACGGAGAGACTTGCCGAGGTCGAGGGTGACGTGCCGGCCGAGCGCGGCCGCGCCGTGTTGCTCGCCGCGCGGGCCGTCGCGGGCAGCGGCTCGGTCGCGAGGTGCGCGGTCGCGGTGCTGGCGGGGGTGTGGAACGCGCGGAGGGGGAAAGGGTGATCTCCTTGGAGGAGCCCCGGCGTGGAGAGAGAGAGTGATGCACACGTTGTCCCGCAAGTTATTTCCCCCCCTCGCTCCTCACCCGCTCCCGCCCCCACCTTCCTCTCCACCTCTCCACCGCTCCTCGTTCTCCGCACCTCTCTTCGTTGCTCCCCACCGCTCCCTTCTCTCCATCTTCCTCCGCCGCACCTCCGCTTCTCGCGACCGAACCCCCGCTCCGCTCCCTTCCCCCAGACGCACCCTCGCTTTCTGTACACACACATGTTTCCACGTTGGCGCACAAGGAAAAACCGCAATGTATGCTGTACTCACACCATACATACACCGCACATAACTATTAAAGCCGCTACGCGGCCGCCCGCCTGACCTCCAACCCACCCCCCCTCCGCTCCCACCCATCCCTCACCCCGACCAGCGAAGAAAAGACGCCAGCTCTCCGATCTCACGCCCGAACATGAAGACGCTTTTCACGCTTCTGACGCTGACGCTGCTGTCCCCCGCGCTGGCGGCGCCGCCGCAAGCGGTGTCGCGCGCGACGTCCGGGCTGAACCTGGCGTTCTGCTCGCCGACGAGCGAGTGCATGGCGCCGCGGCTGTGCTACGGGGACGACCTGGCGACGCTGTGCCGGCCCGACGACGCGCTGTGCTTCCGCTTCCCCACGACCGTGCCGACGTGCGCGACCATACTGGGGAGGGGAACAGGATGATGTTAGGGCGGACGGGGGGGTGACTGAGCATGAGTTCGAGAGATAACGGCATACTACAGCACAGGGGGTCCCACGCAATAGTGCTATACCGAAACAGACCTCAACATATGGCACTATTGCGTGAATGGCACTATACTGAAAGCGCCAAAACACAATCATTTACATACAGTTGAAAACGTCATTTTATTACGGTTCCTGCTACATCATGTAGCAGGAAACCGTAATAAAATGGACCACGGACATGATGTCCGTGGTCCACGCGTCTCGCGCGGTCCCAGCGGCCATGAGCAGCACCAACAAGAACTGCACACAAGTGAGAGGCATGGAAGTCGATGGAAAGGAAGAAGGGGGGTAGGGTGGGCAAAGAGAGAGGCATGCTCTAGATTCGCAAAGGAGTGGGCTGTCACCGTGCTTAGATACACGCTCGCGGGACTTCAACTATGGCTGCAGTCAGTATCTCCTGTTCCCGGTGGCGGGCACCGCCGTAGCTGTCTCTGGTCCCAGAGCCAGTCGGCTTGAACGCTTCGTATGCGCAGTCCGGGGCTGCCTGTCTCGCTAACCTGTAGGTAGTCGTTTTCCCACTAATAAATGTGCCATCTACACAGTACGTCAAACAGGACATGTCCTGTTTGAAGCGAGCGATCAGAGATGCCAGGCTTTGAAGCGGAATTCTACTGTACCTCTCAATAGGCGACAGCTGCGAACGTCCCTGCCTCCCCCCCTGTCCGCTCTCTCCTCCCTTGCACTCGCTCTACCCCTCCCCCCCTGCGGCGCCCCACCCAGATGTTCTCTGCTGAAGTCAAGCAGCAGATCCCGTGCCCGCTGTGCGTGATGCGGCGCTACGTGCTGTGCGACATGTGCAGCGGGCACACGTGTATAAACACGTGTAGGAAGTATGATAACCGTGCCAAGGCGTTTTGCCTAGCACTAATGCGTGGGAAGCACTACTCAAAGTGGCACTATTGCGCGACCCCCCCTGTAGTACCAAGGGTACTATTTCGCGCGGTCATGTAGGACAACTGTCACTGAATTTCTCACATCTGTTTCTCACGGGTTTTCACTAATGTTGTCCGCCAATTCAGGAAAACACGTGTTTTAACAACAGTTTGATCAAAATTTCTGGCAGAAATACTTTCGAACAACGTGTTTTGCAAAACTCACAGGACCTCCAAAACTCGCTGCATGTGAGTTTTACGTGAGTTTTGACAGCCTCTGTTGCGCTTCGGCCTCAAACCCCACACCACCACCATTCGTCTGCGCCCTTCACACAGCGTCACACACCCCCTGCAAAGCCCTTTCAAACTCAAGTATGGGCTCCTCGTTTGTCTCTAACGCACGCGAAGAAATGCCTGGCACACCTTTATCTATCCTTGATACTGGATCCATCGAAGTCATCTCTCGCATTGCTACAAAACGACCAAGTTTAGTAGGGAGTCCTGTTTTGCGTTTGGACAACCCAATCGCCCGACTGTTAGCAAAGTGGGGACAGTATTTGGACACAATCGCTCCCATTCCGATGGATAGAATCCTGTTATGGACTTAGAGATACTGCTATGAGCATCGAGAAGACTTTGTAGACGCTCGATTTTAGGAGACAAGAGGTTCAGGGAGAATTCCTGATTATCCACATCTCTGGTTGTGTCGTCAAATAGGTTGATGTGCATGCTTGAGGCTTGTGAAGCTTGCTGGTGTTCCTTTGACATGGAAATCAGGTTCTGTACAGTAGAACGGGCCGTGTGCTCAAGGCGATGTCCGTTTCGAGTCGCAAGATGATGAGTCGTCAACAGCCATACTACTGTACTGGTTTGGGCTGTACGAAATTTCACACGAGGACGGGTGGAAGCGCCTTCCAGGCTGATTGTGACATCGAGAAGGCCTGCTGCACACGGCTTATGAAAACTCGTGGTTGAATTTCCAGTTTTGTAATTTACTTTGCGACCAACCAGTTTTGGTTTCTGCAACCAAAAACACGTGTTTACTTGGCGGAAAACGTTACTACGAGCACCCCTATCAGTTTGGCTAAATTTAGTGGCTAAATAGAGACTTCACGAAACAAAAGTGGTGACTCAAAAATCACTATATTGTACACCTCGCAGGACAGCTGTACCGAATAGTGACTTTTGCGTCTGGTCCCGTTCTCACGAATCGCTATTGCAATTAGAATAGCGATTCTAAAAAGGAGACGATTTGGAGGGGTACCGAAAATCCTCCCGCTACGTCTCAAGAGTGCGCGCCAAAATTCCATCCAAGCAAACGCCAACTCCATCTGGTGCATACATGGCCCGCTGAAAGCCGCCTTCAAACCCCTAATTCTCCAAAATCCTTTCTCCGTCCTCCGTCTTCAAACTTTCGTTGCGTCTCTATTCCCTCGCTCGTAACCTCCCAACGGCAACCAATTCCCCTATGTCAAAATTTCCCCTCCAAATGAAGACGCACACAAAACACCGTCTCTCCAAACACCTTCATCTCCGTCACCCCTACCATCAACTCCCTCCAACGCATTAACATCCCCTACCCTAGAAGCGGCATGCAACGACCAGCCCGCTACTGTAGGTGGACAACGTCAAACCGCAATCCCTCCACCACCACCACAGGAAAAGGCAAAGTGTTTGCGCCGGTTTCGCTTCACTACGCAAATGGACATAGCTCGGTTGAAGTCCATCACGCTGCTGGGGGCATCTGGCGCCATGGAGAAAGCACCAGAAGCTGTTCCACAAGGCTTTCAACGTCTTTCTCTCGTCCTTGGAGTTCAAATATAGCGGTTTGAAACCGCCGCCGACGTCTGTATTTCTGATTTTCTAAAATTTCCTATGCAGAGACCATGCAAGCCCATGGTCACAATTGGAGCGGTTATCATAAGTTTTCCATGGGGATTCGCTTAGGCCTGGTCCTATGCAATACCAAACATGTTCCATGGAACCGTCCATGCAACCGTCTATGTCTGCATGGGGCAATGGTGGCCAAACCAATTCAGATATGTTCAATGCCAGCCCATGCAGGCATTGGTGTGCATGGGTGTTCATGGGCTCGGCATGGTGGATTCAATCCAAGTTTTACTTTTGCCAAACATGTTCCATAGAACCGTCCATGCAACAGTCTATGTCTGCATGGGGTAATGAGGGCCAAACCAATTGAGATATCTTCAATGCGAGCTCATGCAGGCATTGGTGTGCATGGGTGTTCATGGGCTATGTGGTACAACGACCGATCCGCGGTCGGTGTACAGTAGGAGTGGCCGCGCGCAGCGGGCACGGGGCACCGTGGCCCACGTGTAATACGTATGATTACCGAACGGGCGCAGCAAGTGACAGGTGTACGCTTGGG